CGTATCCGTATCCGTATCCGCGGATCTTGACACCAAATATCCGTATTCGGATCCGTATCCGCGGATATACTTTGTTAACGATCCGGCACATCACTAGTATATACTAATTAAGTATTTATTAATTGCTGTCTATAAGTCCCTCTGCTGGAGAGAAGTCTCTCTGATGGTCGGGCGGATTAAGGTGCTGGGCTTACAGGTGGCCCTAGATAAGACGGAGACCCTCGTGATCCATGGGAACCGCCGTATATATAGTATAATTTTAATAACTGGATTAATATTAACTAGCAGTCATCTGTTTTTATTATGGAAATATATTAAGAATTGCATAACTGGCACATACTGCACTATTGTTGTGTTGCAAATTAAGTAAGTGCAAGTATTCACGTTCTAATAAGTTATGAAGTGCGCTGCTTTTTACTGCATTTATGATACATTTATGACTGGTATTCATAAATGTTTGCCCTTGGCTCCGCCCTCGTGTATTTCGTTTATCGCGGTAAAGGTAGCCTATGTCTTTTCCAAGAATCGAACTATCTCTATGCCAAATTTCATTTAAATCGGTTCGGGGGTTATAAATTCCCCCCTCAAGGGTAATATCAGGGATAAAAACTATCCTATGACCTATGACAATCTAAATCGGTTCAGCAGTTCAATCGTGAAGAGGTAACAGACAGACAGATAGACAGACAGACACACTTTCGTATTTATAATATTCGTATAGATGTTTTTGCCTTTCTGAGCAAGGTAGAAAAAATCGGGTCTTTGATTGTTATAGATCGGAATGTCAGCATCTCAAGTGTGTATCTAATACAAGCATAAATTGTGCTGCAACCTTGCACACTGATATCACCAATCAGCAAACGACCAAATAGATTATAGGTGAATACATGGTGCCAATACCCTCTTAGGCATACTATTAAATTACTTATACATAATAACTAGCTTGGTTAAATATGTACTAAATTTGAATGGAACCTTTTAAGACTTCTTATTGGAACGAAGTTCCTTATCGCGCGTTGTGAAAGGGGGACTAGACTAGACGGAAAAAATTCATACAAAAATTTGGGACGCGACACTTTTTTATTAATATAAATTGACGTCTAACTGTGGATACCATACATTAAATTTGCTTTAACGTTCGCCAACGTCCATACCATGTTGAATACACCGGTTCTCGTCCGATCACCGAAGTTAAGCAACATCGGGCGTGGTTAGTACTTGGATGGGTGACCGCCTGGGAATACCACGTGATGTTGGCTTTTTGCTCTTTATTTAATTTTTTACCGCAGGTTTTTTTTTTTGGTGTATTTCGTATTTTGTTTTCGTATTTTATTTTTCTTTGAATTTGAATTGTATAGTTTTTTTTTGTGTAAGTATGTAAATGTGAGTATAGTGTAGGCTTGTAATGTTAATTCATATTTTATTATCTTTCTGGTGGTTTTGAGTGTTTCCACGGCCTACCCAAATGTCAACATTATATTTTTTTCTTGAAATTTTGAATTTAGGAAATAAAACTAAGTAAATATATTTCAAAACACTTTAATGATCAAAAGAAGTTGGTGCTATGTACACTATTACCCAGATTTCAGTCAAAGTTTTTTTTAAAATTAAAGTAAATCTTAGTATAACATACAACGTAAGCCATGAATTTGTTGAAAGTATGAACTATGATTAGTAATAATATTTTTTCGTGTCATCTTGTCAGACATTCAGCGCCATCTATCGAATCGATAGGAAATCATTTCGCAAGGAGATTTTACCAATGTATAAATTGTTTTAATTGTTTTTAACATGTAGGTAATAGCCGCTTTCATAGATGGCGTTGTAATTAATATCGTGTCAAATCAGTTTTAACTTTAAACAACTTCGTTCCTATCGGGTGTCCCACGACACCACACGGCTTTTTGTCTATGTACTAAGCAATATTCCCTTAAATTGCATTGCCTTCCCTTCATTTGCCTGTCTTCAATTCGTAAATTACGTAGTTGACGGCAATGGTCTTGTCTCAAATTACGTGAGTGGTACCAAATTCCTCACACATAAATATTTCTATAAAGGAGTTGTCTAGAAATGGTTTTTATTCTTGAAAAATTCCAGTAATCGTGTCCTTCCAACAAAGAGAGGATCCTCCGACCGGGCGAAGTGATCATGTCTGGTGGGCCTCAGCCCAACAGCAATCATTTTATGATCGTGAACGCCATAAAATGGTCGTGATCGCAAAAATGATCAATTTTTATTTTAAAACCATTTTCAATAAAAATGTGCACATTTTGCGAAGTGCTTTTTTTTAGAAGTGTCCGTTATGAGAAGTGCACTAACTGCGAAGTACACTAATTGCGAAGTGCACTATTTTAGGGAAGGGGACGATTGGGCTCCGGAAAACTTACTCACTCGGTGAAAAGCAACGAAACGCCTACATTTTGCTATTATTTTATCATTTTAGTCCTACTTACGTAATATTGCCAGTCTATTGCTGTCCACTGGGGTAGATTGGAGGATTGGGTGGATTGTAAAATATTGTAAAGGAAAGGTAGACAAGAAACGAAGGTAATAGTAGGTAAGGGATGGGGTTATCCGGATGGTCTGAAGCATGTGAATGTTTGTGTACCGTAAGGAGAGCCAGGCCGGGCTGGCCTCGACCGGAGTGATATTACTGTCTTATTATTATTCGACGACCGAATGGCGTAGTGGTTTGTGTAACGGACTGCTATTCCAAAGGTCGCGGGTTCGATTCACGCTCAAGTCAAACATTTTTGTGCATGAACATTTAATGTGTGATTTGGTCTGGGCGTTTCTATGTATAATAAGTACGTATTTACAAAAAAGTATATATGTATTTATATCAGTTATCTAGTACCCATAGTACAAGCTCTGCTTAGTTTGGGACTAGATGGCGTTGTGTGAATGCGGTACAATATTATTTATTTATTTATTTATAGGAAACCGGTTTTAAGTCATTCTTTAGTTGCTTTTCATCAATCTCTCTTGTATCTGATTTGTGTGTGCATGCATCCTTGCACCTTGAATGCATCGTTTAGTCAAGTAACAGCCGACGCATATGTTGCTATGAGAATTCTTGCAGGCTCTGACCCGACATGTGAACCAGTAACTTTAGAAAGTATTGGCAAACTTCTGGATAAGAAACTAGCTCCGGACTCATTCTCTCTCTCCTGAAGGACTTGAACAATATGGTTGCAGTGGAAGTTGAAAAACTTTCTTGCGGTATTCCCATCATTGGTAGTTCTCGAGCCTTGTTTAACTATATCAATCAATCAGGAGATTGAGCTTATCATAAACTTTTTAAAATATTTTGAATAATTGGATTAATAGTACTTAAACAACCTATGTTTTATTTAACTTATCAATAAAAAAGATTAAACATCTGTTTTTTTCTCTCTTTCTTTATTTATATATTTTTATTATTTGGGTCAAAAACATTCTCCAGATCGATGTTCTTAACTTAGACACTAAAAGGAACCATTTCAAATGTAAAAATAAATAAATGCTTTTTATTTTTTTTAAATAGCAGCGATATTCGTTATAGGGAGTATTGCAAACAATCATAAATAATTAGACATCATACTAGCTTTATATAAATTTTTCATAAAAAAATCTAATTGCCTCAAGGCTCAATGAACCGGACCTGATCGTTTACCTCTTCTTTTGTTAAGCATTTTGGAAAAGAATTATCACTTTTTTTGTTTATTATTTTTAATAATTTCAATTAAAAAAAAACAATAATTTCGCAAAAATATTTGAATCTCTAGTTTACTATCACCTACAGTCATACAGTCATATTAAACCCAGAATGGGTTTAATAGCTCAGCTCAGCTTAACAACATGGTTTTGTTCAGGGCAAGTCTACAATAACCAACCTTTTAGTGTCTAAAAGTTATCTTTGTCAGGCATTTGCCGTTGGTGGTCAAGTCGACTCTGTGTACACCGATTTCTAAAAGGCCTTCGACAAGTTCAGTCATTACTTGCTTTGTCTAAAAATAGCCTCCTGCAGTGTCCACGGTAGCTTGTATCGATGCTTGTATTGATGGATGTTCATATCTAGGGAACAGAACTCAGTTGGTTGCATTGAAAGGCTATGTTTCCTCGGCTACTGAAATAACATCCGGAGTGCCTCAAGGCTCCCATCTAGGACTTCTGCTTTTCGTAGTATTTATCAATGATTTAATTCAGAACCTGTTGTATGCTGATGATTTAATGTTGTTTACGTTAATTTCTAGAATAGATGATTGTTTAGGCCTTCAGCAAGGTGTTATTACAAAATCTGAGTGGTATAACACTCATTTGATGTCCTTAAATGTTAATAAGTGTTTTATAATCCAAATCTCCATCACATTATCATCATCATCATCACCAGCAGCCTTTAATAGTCCACTGCTGGATATAGGCATCTAGAAAGGAGGCTTTTCCCTACTATACCACGCTGGCCAGACGGTTTGGTATAGGGTTCGTGTCAAGTTTTCCTTCCCTTGCAGTGCTGTTGTCCTGTTGTTGTTGTTGTACTCCCTTAGTCGGCTCTTACGACACCCATGGGATGAATAGGGGTGGTGACACTCCGTATTCTGAATCCGTCACCACACGGAGCTCACATTAGCTACTTATTGTCATATTACTTACAATATTACGAATCAGAGATATTTTTTGTAAAATCTTTATTGTTTTTTTTTGTGCACATATGAGTTACGTTACAATCCAGATCTAAACGATGTACTCTGAAAGCTATATTGACTGATAGAATAATTACATACTTTTTTTCGTAAATACAAACATATTATAATACATAGAAAACACCCAAACTCCGAAACAAATATTTGCAGATCGTACAAAGATTTGGTCGGACCCGGGAATCGAACCCGAGACCTCAACACAGCATACACTACCACTGCACCATCGAGGCAGTCATAAGACGATAAAAAATGCATTATTATTATTTATGACATAAAACACAAACTTTAAATTTATGAAAATTTAATGATCTTCAGTTATTAATGTTTACAAAAATATAAATATTTATAATACTGGCTAGTTTGGGCATTATTGTACAAATGTTTTGAGATCGCTTTGTTCATCTTCTCTTTAGATGTATTAAATTCGACACCATCTTCGAAGGTATTTGCTACTTCCCACATACATTTTGCTGTGTCATCCAGTGGATTTTCCTCGACGAAGTACCTGAATAAAAATAAGGCATATCTTCAGATATTTCTTTATTTTTCTTTTTTTGAAAAGACTACTCCCGTCGCGGGTGACTTCACAGACATTAATATACAGTATGTGCATTAATATACTCGTACACAGTGTTGTCCTTTGTGAGGATCGAACCCACAACACTTAAAGCGAGGTGACCACTTAAACCACTACACCATCCGTGCGTCCAGTTTTCAAATTTCCATTATATTAATGTTAATTTACAAACAGATTATTACCAATGAATGAACTGGCTAAGTACGTTTCAAGTCTCGAGCACTTTATGTTCCGTAGTTTATTACATTCAGTCAAAAAAGTATCGGGAATGGATGATTTGTCTTTCGTTCCAAATTCAAATTTTTGTTTTTTTTTTGTTGTTGTTACATTGGCACAACTGTTTTCCATTTTGCGCGCGGAGTTTGAGTTGCATCTGTTATTTATATTAAATACAGTGCTGTTTTTAGTTATATCATATCTAGTGTGTATTGCGAATTTCATAATGGACAATAACATCGAACAATGAGTCTGTCTTAAATTTTGCATCGCCAATGAAATTTCGTGTTCGGAGTCACTGAAAATGTTACAGATGGCTTACGGTGAATCGACTTTATCAAAAACACGTGCTTATGAGTGGTACAAAGCGTTCAAAAGCGGTCGAGATGTGATGAAAGATTTGCGTCGCTCTGGTAGGCCATCAATGTCTGCAACTGAAGTTATAATCGCAAAAGTGAAGGAAATAGTGACTGAAAATCCTCATTCAACTTTGAGAGAGATAGCCGCCGAACTTTCTGTATCTCACAAATCGATCCGTACCATTTTAACTAATCATTTGGGTATGAAACATGTTACCCTCGGCTAGTCCCAAAAGACCTGAATTTTCTCCAAAAACTCAATCGCATGAGAGTCGCTGAGGACATGCTAGAACGAGTCAATTCCGACCCAACATTCATTAAACGCATTGTTACTGGTGACGAGACGTGGGTTTACGAGTTTGACATGCAAACTAGTCAACAAGCTTCGGAGTGGCGCCTTCCAACTGAACCGAAACCGAAAAAACCACGCCAAAGTCGATCAAAAGTCAAAGTTATGTTGACTGTTTTCTTTGACTATCGCGGTGTCGTGCACTCGAAATTCTTATTGGAAGTTCAAACGGTAAATAAAGAATATTATTTGAGCGTTATGCGGCATTTAAGAGAGCAAATTCGACGAAAAAGGCCAGATTTATGGAAAGAAAATTCTTGGATTTTACACGACGGTAATGCGCCTTCGCACAAGGCCATCATTGTGAACCAATTTTTGACTAAACACTCAACAAATACCATCGAGCAACCACCATATTCACCAGATATGGCTCCAGCCGATTTCTTTCTTTTTCCTAAACTCAAATTACCACTTCGTGGCACCCGTTTTCAATCGGTAGAAGACATAAAGAGAAAGAACTGAACTGAACTCAATTCCGGAAACAGCGATAAAAAAATGTTTTGATGATTGGATTATTCGTTGGCGTAAGTGTATTGTTTCTAAAGGAGCATACTTTGAAGGTGATAAAATAATTTTGGACGAATAACAAACATTTTGTGTACTCGTATTATTGATCTTTTCCTTGATCTTTCTTGACAGAGTAGTATATCACGTCCAAACAACAACTTCGTTTAATTTATATCTTTCTTAAGATTTTGTATTTTGTATAATCGAAATGGGTACAATTTATTATTTGGTCGACTTATAAATTAGCTTAACTGGAAAAGTTAATCCAACCTTGTTTTCTTATAAAATTTACTGTACATACTACGAGTATCATTTCTGTTTTCCGATTTTTCAATGCCAACACTTTATCTCGTAGGATTGTGCTCTAAAAATAATCAATACTTTGTTAAATATTTCGCAAAAGGATTACGAAATCGCAACATAGACTTCATGTTTAAATATTTTTTAGAGACCAATACAAAGATACCAATTAATGCCCCCTACATACCTATATCCATTCAAAATTGCAGATTACAGACTGAAATTGCAAACTTTAAGGATTACGAAAGCCTAAAAATACGCGTAAATATATGTACCTAGTAAATAAATCACGGTGAAATTTATTTTAAAAATTGAGCAGCCAAAATAACTGACATTGTTGTATCATCCGCTGCTTTTTCCAAGAGTTATGGAAAAGTGTGAATGGAATGTACCTCTCAATCTTTATCCCGAATAGCAGATATACGTACATAAGTGGTCCAAAAGATTATCATATCAGCATAAAGCGACAGCCTTTATTACGCATACCCTTATCGAATAAAGCCAATGTTCCAAATTATTCTCATAATCTGATACTGTCGACTACCCTGCAGAGGCCTCCCGATCAAAGAAGTTACAAAACTTTTCTCTGTGTGTACAATTTGATGTTCAATTTAGATTTGATATTTCGTACCATTGAAAAATAGTCCTTGTGAATGTAGTTATTCTGCAGGTATATACATTAAAACCGCAGTAATCAGAAAAACCGTTTTGCATTGCTGTGTCGGTTTCTCGAATTTATCTGACTATGGAGTAACGTCAGCGTGGCCTCGAAGTGTGGCACTTGTTCAATAGGAGTGATATATAATCCGGCAAATCGAATATGTATTTATAGAAATAGCAACATTAAATCTATATTTCACATCAAGTACAAGATAAAAGATTTAGTGAATTGACAGACATACACTCATCTCCATCCCCGAAGACGTAGACAAAGGAGTATGTAATGCCCATATTTTGCCAACTATAATTTTAGTCTCGATAACATAATGGGCGCAGAAACCTATTACTATCGAATGGGAACGTTTTGAGATATTTTGGGAATGGGAAAGTAAAGAGTACCATGAAAGGGATGCTAATGGCAGGAAGGGGATATGGCTTATATGGATGCATCGGGTAGTGTAAGCAATAGCTCCTACAGGGCAGGATTACATGCCTGTCCTCTAAATGATCTACAGTGAATTAAACAATTGCAATATGCGTCGCGTTTGTTTTAAGAATATTTTTGTTGATCAAAACAAAGTGCAGTATTCTTTTGGGCTCCGCGTACATGTCATAGCGTTTTTGACGAAGAATTACTACCATAGTCTAAAATGGAGTGCCGGATTTGCCAGCGACTCGATTTGTTATTATTTGATCCTTACCGTATAGCGACGCGCGACGTCAGAAAGCGGATATATGGTATTCCTATCTCTTATATGCCTGAGTCGGTCTACAACCGCCCATTTCCACGGCTACTCTTACATTGTTTTGATGTGTGCGTGTGTGTGCCAGTATGTAAGTTTTTAAGACCAAGAGGTAAAAGGTAATGAAGAGAAAACAAGATATGGAAAAAGATGAAATAAAGAAGAAACTGAAGTAAAACATGAAAAAAATTGCAAAGTAATAAAAGACACTCTAACCCTTTAGAAATAGCCTGTGCTAAATTAATTCCAAGCATTCTTGTCTTCTATGTAATCCACAATTGAGTAATAGGCTTTCTGACGTAGTGTACGTTTTATTCTGGATTTAAATTTGTTTATACTAACATCTTGTATACTATTTGGGATTTTGTTATAGAATCGGACACATTGAAATGACTTGTTGATCTTTTGGAGCCTAGAGGCAGGTACAACAAGTTTATTTCTATTTCTGGTATTTAAAGCATGTTTTTTAAGCTTTTTAACATTTTACATTTTCATAAATATATTGACTTGCCACTGCCATTATGTTTATTTCTTTAAATTTTTGCCTCAATGAAAAACGCTTGCCTGAATTATAAATGGCTAGAATCGCTCTCTTACGCAGCTTAAAAATAATTTGAATGTCGGCAGCATTCCCCCACAGTAGAATACCGTACAACATTATGCTAAGTAAATAACTAAAGTAAACAAGTCGTGCTGATCAATATTAGTCAATTCTCGAATTTTTCTAACTGCGTATACTTCTGAGCTGAGTCTACTCGATAATTTATCTTTATGCGGGCGCTATTGAAGCTTAGAATCTAATTTTAGTGCTAAAAATGTATTTGTATCCACAAGCTTTAGCTTGACATCCTTAATCATCACAGTGGTTTTCACTGGCTTGACATTTGGCGTAGTTAATTTTTTAACTTTAGCGCACGCTTTATGTGAAAGATTTAGCTTTTTGCAATTCGTCCACATAAAGTATTCCAAATATACTGCCATGTGCCATATTTGTTTAAAAAGAGTAGGTACAAAGAATTTTCTTAACGTACTAATATAATGTCTATAGGTAATGTACTTACTTCAAACATTTCCTCATGTAATTGAAATGATCCAGGAAACACGAACACGGCCCGAATTGACACAAAAGAGGTGTATTTACAACAGCATTGTCTAAAACATCTTTTCTAATTTCAGTCGTGATACTTGGGCGAGGTCGGTCTGAAATAGATTCCACTTTAGGTGACGCCTCTCCATGTTTCCTTAAATACAGCTTCCTGATTAAGGTAGAAGTGGTGACTGGCATCTGTTTGTTGATATCCATTTCAAGAGTTCTCCTGTTATACTCCTCGTGTTGGTGGTTGATAGCTACTTCCCTTTTAACCTCAATCACGATGGATTCTAAATCTTGAGTGGCAGCAAGTTCAACAATTTTATTGCATAACTCCTGGATAAACCAGGATCCGTGAAGTTCATTCCTGAAAAATGCAAGACCATTGAAAGGAAATCATAGATTCATCATAACGCAGGAATAATTTATTGGATATCTCCAATTTTATTAATGATGTATTGGTTTATTTTAATAAAAGAATATTATGGGTGAAAGAATATTATGTAATTAATGTTGTAGGAAGGCCGTGGTATTTCTTATTCTGTGTAGTTACTTTTTATATAAATTAAACTTTTAAGCGTTAATTTTCTTTTGGCTTAGAATCACACATTACGTATACATACTCGTATAAGGCAAAATATTGAGGTACCCACAACGAGAAATATTTAAAAAACTTAGAATTTCTAATTGACTTAATTACCTAATTTTATTCAGTATTCTTTATTTGCGATTCTACAATGTAAAACTAGATGGTAGATTAGCATTAGTATCATTATGGACCCTGTTTGGGGATAGCAAGTAAGTTTCTCAGTTTACTTAAACAAAATAAAGGCTTGTTACTTTAACATTGTTCATTTTTAAAGGTTGTTTTATAATGAAAGGCTACCGAACTTCTTTGTTAACAATTGAGTATATAAAAAAAATACAGAACAATATACCTATGTGATGGACTGCCCTCGTAAGAACTATGAAGAACGAGCATATCTGACTCTACTGGCAGAATATAAGGCTCCACAGCTTCATCCAGATCTCTTCGAATCTTCCCAGAATGAAACACTGCAACACCTGGCACAATTTTAGTACCACGACATGCCTGAAAAAGAAATTTAAAAATATTTGTAAATTATCACACTACTGCACACTCATTCCAGGAATATTTTACCTCGCGATCGTCTTGTTATCTTATCTTACTCACCACCGTGGCGAGCCTCAATAAAACTTGCGTAACAAAGCATTATATACCTAGTTTTCCAAAAAATAAACCGGATACTACAAGAATATTGATAACCCAATGAATCATATAATGTTTGAAAACATGTTTCATTGTTTTGTTTGATAAAGGTAAAGAGTAGGTAATCAAAAAATTCATCACCCTTCAAGATTCTCGTCCAATGTCGAAATATTCAAGGCCTTCCTAAATTCTTTTGTGTTAGGTGAACATGATATGTACAGAGATAAGTATTAACCTTTTATGTAAATACAACTTCCACTACCACTATACGATGCATTATAAAACCATCATAAGCAAGGGCGTAGCCAGGATTTGATTCAGGGTAGGCTAAAAACAGGGAACTAACAATTTTGCCTCATAAGAATGAAAATGAAAGAAATATATATTTAAAGTATTTATTTTCTTAAAAACCTGAGAATATTATGGCTGAATCTATCCAAAACTTGAAATATTAAGTTTTTTAGTCATCCTTTTTGTATTTTGAATTACTGTCTCATGCTCACTGTAAGGATCAATGCATTTACCAAAACTATGTGCTCACTAGAAATTAAAAGGTACCTCGACTAATCTACGTATTTGTTCGTAATCTTATTACTATGTTATCTAAACATCATCACTATCCATCTCCCATCTCCCAGTTTAATTTGGGAAATCGCAGGTCAGTGCAATGTTTAACGTTGTTAAAATGATTTGGCTGATTTCTTTATTGGCCGGCTGCCTACCTGAAATTGTTTTCAGGCAGGATAAAGGAAAAAGATAAAGTAAATTTAAATGAGCTAGGATACGGGACACTGCCCAACACTGCTACAGACCTGCCTCTTCGAGATACGTCTTAGTCCTATCTTGTGATTGGAGAGGCCACGGACAACGAGAAGCCGTGGATCTTATCTAAATATATTTCTACATAATCAGCATAATTTTACACCGGTTTCTTTGATAATTTCTTATTATCTTTGTTGAATCTCATTTCAATATTCTCGGGAAAACATATCTACAGATAGATAAGTGTATTTAGTAGATACTTTATTTCCGAAACATCGAACACTAGTGCATGAAAAGTGTGTTAAAATAATGAAAGTCTGAAGACTTTTGGATTTGGAAAAAAAATCGGTAAAATCAAAGACAACAGTTTTGTGAGTCGAGTTGGTTTTTTAGGACCTCGGGCGTCGGTAATCCGTCAAATACGTTGATTAGCGCAAAGTTTTTGTTTAGAATAAATGTTTCATTCAAAATAGTCGTGCATGAACATTTACTTATTTATATTTAACATTTTTGTAATTTAATAACAAAGTAGAAAATAATTTCAGTTGCTAAAAAATGTTATGCTCATGATCTGATAACAATGATGTTGAAGAAATTAGTCTGTTTTGGTATACTTTTTCAAGAAGCAAAGGTTCCTGCAATTTTGCGTGAGTCTACAAAAATATTGATGAGAAGATTAAAAAGTTTATTTTCGAATTGATGTTCAGGGGAATTACAAAATATAAACCTTTCTGTCTTTTATAACCTAAGTATTATTCATCTAATTCGCCAAATTTTATCAAAAGGTTTGCAAGCTATAATAGGTCATAAAACAGTTTTATATGATTTTATATGATTTAAAAGACTAGAATATTGGTTATGCCGGTAGTGACACGCCATTGGTCCGACTAGAAATGGCGGGCAACGGTGGGTGATAAAACACAAGAGTGCTGATTGGTGTGCGAACAACATCGTATCTCTGTATATGTGTGTGTTGTGTATATGTGTGTGTTCCTAACATTACATATTAATTTCTACTATTATTAATAAAAATAACTTGACTCATTTCCACCAAGGTCGTCTGATCGACGCGACGTGAGTTTCTTTACCCTTTTTTCTCATAGGGCGGAAAACTTCCCTTGGAAGCGGGCGGTTGTAGATCGGCACAGGCATATAATATTTTTTCGATACGTATAATTTTTTTTTATATAATATACTGTATAAGGCTTAATATTTTAAAACACAGATTGGTGCAAACATGAATTCAAACATTTTTTCATGAAGTAAAGATATTTTGAGATTGAGTTTGCTTTCTTGGCTTCCTATTACACACTTCCGTCCCTTTACTAAAGCCCCTCCTACTTCCAACAAAGCGAGTAGAAAGATATTACATATCAAAAAAATTGTGATAAGTTAACATACCTGAACAATGAGAAGTTTAGGTTTCGTAACTAAAGTTAGATTATTGATAACTTTAAAATGCTTGATGATCTCAATTTCACTAAATTGTTGATCTCTCGCTCTCAGGAGGCCGTTATTGGAGCCGTGCGTCAGAACTGCGACCGCAATGCACCCATAGTCCGACAAGTTGTTTTTACTACTCGTGACTGCAATTGGAACAAAATCAAATTATTTTCTGAAAATTATCTATAAATTAAAATTCCTTTTTTTAATTTATCTTTAATAAGTCTCTAACGATCAATCTATGGTAGGGTAAAGAAAAACACTTGGTATTAGAAAAAATAATACTACTTACTACAAAAATGTAGTCGTCGTGTATAAAATCCTTGTAATAGACTTGTATTTGCTGTAAATAGCGGCCCTAAAGCGATCTCTGAAGTTGTCAAAATCCTTTGTCAACGAACGCAAGGATAGAAATATCCCTATATTTGCATTTTTTATTAATATACCTTAATAATTATGTCTTAATTGCCATGATTTCCAAAACAAAGGCTGTTTTTTTTTATTAGGACGAAGTTCTTTATCCCGCGTTACACGATCTGAGCGGATGAGAGCGAGACCGAAAAATTAGTAACAAGACTGCTTTCCGACACAGCGTCTACCAAAAATCGAATGGAACTTGTCTGCGACCGGGGGTCCATAGACCCCTCACGCCGTTTTTGACCTTGCGACTTTTTGGAAGTATATAAAATTAATTTGCGTTTCTCTCAATAATTAAAAATATTTTTACAATTACTTGCATCAAACATACGTTCGAAAAATACTACCCTACTTTATATTTGGGTCAAAACAAAAACGTTGATGATCAAGAAATGAAATAATGATGCAATAAAAATGTTGCAAACTAAATACCTATCCATCGAAAACGTCAACATTTCACAATTCAATTTTAGGCAACCTTTTTTTTATTCAAAATAAATAGTAATTTTACGGGACTACGCTCGACTACGCAGGACAACGAGCAAACTACGCAGGACAACAGCACTGCAAAGAAAAGGAAAACTTGACACAAACCCTATACCAACCCGTCTGGTCAGCGTGGTATAGTAGGCCACAACCTCCTTTCTAAGGAGAGGCCTATGTCCAGCAGTGGACTGTTATAGGCTGTTGATGTGATGTGATGATGACGCTCGACTAAAAGTAATCTTTAACTTAGAACTCGATGTTCTTGGTCTCATACAAATTTAAATAAGCCTATGCTCCAAGCTTCTTTCTTTCACAAAAAAAAAGGGAGTCAAAATATGTAGCTTAGCGGCTTGGGCGTGAAAATTTATGTTAGCATTGATATTATAATAATAGTAATTAGTATATATAGCTTTAAAGTAATTATAGATACAAGTTTATTATCAAACTAGAGATAAAATGCTGTCTACAAAAACGTCAAATAATAGAAAATAACCACACGACAGTTATTAATTTCGACCAATTACTATTGTGTAATTATGTTTGATTGGGTCTGGATACACTCCTGTCTTTCTCCTTCCTACGGAATATAACCTGAATATTCGCTTTCAGCGGGGAAGGCGTATGATTTAACAAGGACAATGGACATTTTCGTAAAATAACGTCATTCGAATTAAGCATCGCTCGTACATGAATGGGTACAGACTCATTATCAAATATATTACTGGTAGTAGTTTCTAATTTGACAATCAATTCATACATCTTAATGAAAAATTCAGTAATGTCAATGTCATGTAAACATACATACATAAGTATGGAAGTTGACGAATACAGCGTAAAAGATGATCAAAGAAAAGATTGATGGATTGTTTAAAAAAGGATTTGATAAAAACAAAGAGAGTAAGCAGTTAACTAATAAATAAAAAGGAATAATGGAAGGAGAAACCTCATTGCACTCATTCCAATTAAATTTGGCAAGAAGATGATGATGATTCAGCTCTATCTTAGATTAATTAACATTATGGGCACGGTAACGTATCGGAAAGTATATCTTAGGTTAGGTTACACGTTTTGTTAACAAGTAATTGATGTAGCCGTTTGGGTATCATTTTTAGAATTTGCTGATAATAAATAGTAATGATGGACAGCGATCGTAAAACAAAAATATAAACTTACATGATCTGAGAGTTTCAAAAATCTCATCCTTCGTAAAATCCTTGTACTCGACTGCTTCGAAACCGAATTTTCCGAACGTATTTTTCAACATTTCGACGTCTTTTTCTGTACCAAGTCTTTTCTCATGACCGTCAATATTTTCTAGATTAAAAATAATTAAAGCATTCTTCTCAAACCTCTCTAGCTCATAAGTTGTGGCATACTTTGACAAGGCCTTCATGTTTAACAGAGGAGGTTCATATATTTCCGGCTTGGAGCCTTGAAAAATTAATTTATCTTCGGTTTCTTCCTCAAAAACTTTTTCTTTTTCTGGAATTTCGGTATATGATGGTGCACTGTTCATTACAGCATCTCTGCGTACACCATTCTTAGGAAATTCTGTACTTGAATTCAAAGTACATAGTTGTGAGCTACTAATACCTTCGGTGGGAGAGTCATCACAGCCAAGCTCACTAACACTATCATCAGTTAAATTGGAATCCCCTGTCGATTCCACTGCTTGGGACACCTCAGATTCACTCTGAAGTTGTTCGAGAGATGTGAATTGTTTTTTCCTTTGTCTTTTCTTCTTCTTATTCTTTCGAGATACTACTTCAAATTCGGAATAATTTTTAAAATAGGTGTCACTACTGGGTTCCATGATTTTCGATCGCGGTACTAATTGAAATTAAAATGTAAATAATATAATTTAAAAATACACAAGTGTTCAGTGCCATATGTGTTTTTCAATTTATCCGTATCACTACTTTTGAGCTCTAATATAACATTATCTAATCTCAGTGATAACTACATCCATTGCTTTATCGATAGGGGATTTCGTAATGACATCATATTATTTATATTTTACATAAGGCATTGTGTATGCACTCATGATTAATCTCACATTTCTCAATTCATAAATTGTGCCAAATATGGTTATAATGATTTCCTTCAAAAAATAATATAACAGTTGTTACGTAATTGTTATTAGTACCTTGTCAATTTAGCTCATAGGGGTGGCAATAACAAATTTAATAGAATAATTAAATTGCACGATATTATGTTAATTATACAAATTGTGTAACATGCCACTCATGTAGCGAAAAGGGTTTTTTTAGAGACCCAATGCATATTACACATAAACCGAAATTAAATAATACATTTCATTTTGTAATCCATGTATACCTACTCTTTTTCTAATCTTATTGCATACTCACTGTTGATGAATCTTCATCATTGAGAAATGACAATATAAAACACCAGTAATAGATTTGTAACTCACTTGAGGTGATTTTTAAGATAGTTTATAATATAAGGACTTTCCTTTTACCTACTGTCAATAAAATATTTACAAGATTTGAAATCTAGCACCAACGCTGTTTTACAAATTAATGTTTTTTTTTTTAGTCACTAAGTATTTCTTTGAACTAAAGAAATTTATATTCTACTTTTTAGTTCGGCTAGTTACAAAAAGTGTTATTTTTAGTTTCGTTAAACTATTATTAATTTGTTATTCATTTTATTACTACTTTATTTTTATCCTCATCGAATTATCACCTCAGCGGAGCTGATGTTGGAATAGACATAACCTGAACAGAGTAAAACAACATGCTGTTCTGTACGAAATAGGTCGATTGCAGGAGACCTAGGATATTTAAAAAAGCAAGCTCCTGGAATCCTTGCTGACTGATCCCACTGACCAGCAGACGATCAAATCCTGGATTATGGGCGAACACATCGTGCCACCGTCTCAGACATGATTTGAAAGTTCTAGTTTGCTAACTAGTTTGGTTAAATATATATTCAATTAGAATCATACTTTACAAACTAGTAAAACCTTTTACGACTACTTATAGTCTGTGTGACGCCACATTCCTTTAACTTGCGTTGCCTTCCCTTCATTTGCCTTTCTTCAATTCCTTGTCTTGTCTCATATAACGACGTGTAAGTGAAATAAATATTTCTATAAATTTTATGAACATAAAGAAATTCTAATAAATAAACTGATTATATTCGAAATAAAAAACCATATAACTAATATGAAATAATTTTAATAAATAATAATAATTACACAGATGTCACACTTATTTTTCAATTAAAAGAGAACTTCAAAATTCAGTTTTTTTTTTGCAGTTTTTTTTTAAAGGGCAACACTGTTGCTGCAGTAGACAAAGAGTCGCCAAGTGTATCTATAAAAGATAACTTAAAAATCTTATAAGCACATGAGATGATCTTCATACAAAAAATTATCTTTACCATTATATAGCTATTATTATTATTACTGCCTCAGTGGTAGCGTATGCGACTGCTGTGCTGTCTCGGGTTCGATTCCCTGGTCGGAGCAAATGTTTGTATGATTTGCAAATAGTTGTTCCGGAGTTTGGGTGTTTTCTATGTATACTATGTAGGTATGTATTTACTAGCTTTCATACTACAAGGTCTACTTTGTTTACAACTAGATGGCGTTGTGTGTCAGATGTCCGAAATATTAATATTTATTTATTTATTATTAGTTATATTAAGTACCTTTAACTATTTACATACACGTCGCTTTTAATTGCCAATAGTACAAAGTTTATATTAATTTGCAATGTTATATTGCGCATTATTATAAATTATTGCTGTTAAATTGCTTCAAAAGTACGTCCAGGTATTTATCATCTAACTTTATCGCCGTTTTCAAAAGATATCTAGTATATTTTTACTAAAGAGTATTTTTTATTAACTTTTTACACTAGCTTCACTCGTGTCAATGACGATTTTGTTAATAATAGTTTTCTACATAAAAAGTATTCTATTCCAGACTTTAAACAGAATTTATTTCCGTACTCTTCAACTAGATTTGTACTGCTGTTCTAGCGTGACTGAACAACAAACAATCATCCATCCATTCATGGATCCAAATTTTTACATTTATAATATCAGAATAGAATTGTAGATGTTTTGGCTAGCATTTAGAAAAATAAGAGATAACCATAGGTAAATGTTTGTTATACTTTGATGATTACGAATGCCCGATAATTGATTTATGTATACAATATTACACAATATGATTTAGTTTCACTACACAACATTTTTTAAACTTTAGTGTTCGACATTGTAACCTGTTTTAAAATTGTATTTTGGATATAAACAATCATCCCAAAGTACTAAAATATTTTTTGTTTACTAAAAATTCCTATCTGTCAACTAGGTCCAATCTACCAAAGTAGTAGAAAATCTCCTGAAAATGGCAGTCTAGGTAACTGGTACGTCCCCGGCAGCAGTTTTTATTATGTCGAACACATAATAACGGCACGGCTTGCGATATAACAGCAATCATTTATTTTAATGTGCAATTTAGCGGCAATAATTTATGTCAATATTGCATTGCACATTGAAATAAATCAATTTTATAATATAAATCGTATTTAATATTTTGAATAAAAAGTGAATCTTGGACCATAAAATATTATTACCAGATAATCATTTTTTCATTTTGATTTTCTTCCTGCTTATAAAAAGTATGTATAATCATGTCTGAATGTAGCTGTTTGTTTTCAATACTTAATTTATCCGTGAGGTGACGGATTTAGAACACGGAGTGTCACCACCCCTATTTATGCCGTGGGTGTCGTAAGAGCCGACTAGAGGAGCAAACTATGCAAGACCGCAGCGCTGCAAAGAGAAGGAAAACTTGACACAAACCCTGTACCAACCCGTCTAGCCAGCGCGGTGCTGTAGGCCAAAACTTTCTTTCTAAGGAGAGGCCTATGTCCAGCAGTGGACTATTTAAAGCTGTTGATGTGATGTTATGATGTGTGACTTATTTTTATTACAATTTTTGCGATGGTAAATGTGTCAAAATAATAATAATAATAACCTTACACATCTCACACACGACTGTCTGATCCCAAACTAGGCAGAGCCTGTGCTATGATAACCAAACTGCTGATAAACATACTTTTATATATTTTTTAAATACATCCATATTATAGATGAATTAGACCCAGACACAGAACAAACGATCGTGCCCAGCACACAAATATTTGTTTTGGGTGAGAATCGTGCCCACGACCTCCGGTTTAGCAGTATTTTTTTGTGAAATATCAATGCTATTCTGTATTTTTTACTTGTGACATGACATTACGTATCTTATTAGGTACAATGACATTATAATACCATTTCACTTTTGTCAAAAACAAAATGTTGCTTTGAGTCACGTTCTCTAGATGTATACTATAGAATTAGAAGTGACGAATAATTAAATTTGAACCAATTCTATATTTGCCGCTGCTCCGCCGTGCGTACCTAACTGATCATGATTTAATAATATTATGAAATTGATATAAGACAACGTGATAACTGGAATTATAACGACTTTTAAAAAATATACAGGTAATTGAGAATCTACTGAGTATTTAAAAAATATTATAAAATTAAAGACTCAACCTAGATTAATTTTAATATAACAATATTTGTGATTTTCAGAACAACTCAACAATTATTCTTTGGCTGTGACATGTTTTGAGTATCACGTTTGGCAACACTAATCCATGCTCAAAGTCAAATTTGGTTGACGAAACAAACGTCAAACAATTATCAGTTAAGCCACCACTGCGTGACCCGAAAAACGTGTTTATTTTTTTTTCAATAAATAGGTACCAAACAGCCAAAAATGTATTATGTTAAGCGCATAGATTCAGTCTATTATCATTAGTTTTCTCATGTTTTTTAATTAGAAGAAAAAAGTGTTAAACTTAAAAATGTTCAATTATAAATATCTAAGTCGTGAACACCTTGAAGGGTTCGATAATTATAAGGTATGCCCAGCCCTACTTTAAAATACATATATGTTAATTCGTAACTAGAATAGATTTTAGGTACACTTACTCACATTTACTCACATTTCTATAAATAGTAACAAACTTAACCTCAAAACTATCGATTTTTACGCAACAACGTATAACGGATTTTTTTATCATATTATTGATACAAGCCTTTTAAAATATTCTTAGTAAACTTAAAAAAAAAGACAGACAATAGTTGTTAATGGTGTGTAATTATGTGTAATTCATGAATATAAAGTTATATTCAACATATACTTACGAACCTGTTATAATATGATCTATTAAACATTAGACATTAAGTATTTATTTACTCAATAACAAAGTATACACACCCATTATTAGCTCTATTTTAAATGTCAGTTATTGCTGCAAAAGCTAATATTTTAAGTAAGTAAGAATTGGACAGAATTATAAAAGTATTTATGTATGTTTATATATTTTTAAAGGCTACAATCTTGGCCAATTCAAGCAAGGAATTAATAATATCTTTTATAGTCATAATGAATGAGATTATTTGTGATGTCATTAACAAAAAACAAAACCCAAGTGGGGTGGTTCAGTGGTGTCGTGAACAATACATGGTTTGAGTTTGAAACTGTTGACTTAGTAAATCGTAAACTTACTTATGATAAATAATTATTAAATTAAGTAAGTCCGTGTGGTGACGGATTAAGAATACAGTGTCACTACCCCTATTCATCCCGTGGGTGTCGTAAGAGCCGACTAAGGGAGTAAACTGCGCAGGAAAACAACACTGCAAAGACAAGGAAAACCCTATACCAACCCGTCTGGCCAGCGTGGTATAGTAGGCCAAAACCTCCTTTCTAAGGAGAGGCCTATGTTCTGCAGTGGACTAGTAAAGGCTGTTGATGATGATGATGATTGGTAATAGGCAGCCCATCCAAAGTTATTTTATGGAGGTGGAGTCTCCTGTCACAAGTATTTAATACTTAAAAAGAGGTCATTGTTTGAAAAGTAGAATATTAAGTTATTAATTATTGTGACATAAGCAATAATTTAGAAATTAACTTAATCAATGGATCAAGTTAATTCCTAAATTATTGCTTATGTGTATATACTGTTGATAGTTTGAAGGCTTGGATGCCTGGTCAGTTCAAGTTACAGGAAAAACCCTGACCTACTCAAGCTATTGCCGACACTCTCCAATCCATCATAATGTCCTATACCCGTCTGGCCAGTGTGGTATCATCATCACCCTATCGCAGTCCACTGCTGGACATAGACCTCTCCCATTGCATGCAACTTAGATCGATTTCTGGGTCCTCGCATCCAGCTCTAGTGGTAATGTAGGCCAAAACCTTCTTTCTAATGAGAGACCTATGTCCAGCACAGGACTATTAAAGGCTGTTGAAGTAATGTGTGTGTGAAGCAGTGTCCCTTCCCATGTTACCAACTTTTTAAATTCAACTCCCGGTTTCCTCATCTAATTCCTAAAATATCCAATCCTTGGCAATAGGCTTGAAGCAGTTACATGCACAGGCAGTTTTAACATACATAGATGGATGGATTAGGGCATCCATTGAAGCAATATCCAGTTCCTAACATTGACTTTGCATGTCTTCATGGTTCCTTTCACATTGACCTCCCGATTTTCACATCTAATTCCTACAGTGCCTGATCATCAACAATAGGCTTGCCCCTATTACATAAATGTAAAATAATGGTCAGCTGCTTATCTCTTTTTGGGGAGATGGGTGTGAATGTATGTATGTAGGTTGTATACATTTTTCATGTCAATAAACCTAAAAATTTTTTTCAGTATATGGCAATAGACACCAGCCCTCTGAGTGTTTATGTTATGCACCCATTTTGGAACAAAGTCGTTGAGGTGAGTAAATTAAGTGTCTTATCATCACTTCAGTGATTTATGTTTGTCTTTAGTTATGCAATAGCTAATTGAAAAACAAATATTGTCAATTTTTGGGTGTGAATTGAAGTGTAAATATATATTTTGAGCCTTTTTTAAAAGTTACTTCTTAAGAAAAGACCACCCCCCGAGACACAAGATATCTTCTTAGTGAGTCCCACACTAAGAATATATCCTGTGTCCCGTGTCACGTGGATTATATCCTGTGTCTTGGGGGACTACAAATATACATAATGCGGCGAGGTGACGGCTTATATCCCCGTACAGTCGACTGGTTAGACCGTTCTTAATAGTTTTGGCATCTGCCGTATTAGAACCTAAGCAATTATGATATAACATCACTTAAATTTTATTTGTTTGTAAGGATGTGAAAATGTGTTTGTTTGTTTGTTACGCTTTCACGCCTAAACCACCAAACCGATTTTAAACATTCTTTTACCAATGGAAAACCATATTATCAGCGAGTAACATAGGCTACTTTTACTCCCCCGATAACTGACACACACGGGCGGGGCCGCTTGCAAAAGCTAGTACGTCTCAGAGCATTGTGGTTCAGCATCGGACGGCGATGGGCTGATGATGATTTTGGTTGGTTTTCTTCCGATATACCAATTACCATAATGGACTGTGCTATGATGACCCGTGGGCGATACGTCAAATAGTTATGATTTGCCACCCGCAAACTTTACAACCTCTAATTGTTCAACAAAGGGCGCACTCCTCAAAATTCGACAACGCGCTTGTGACTCCTAAGTTGCAGGCGTTCAACGGCGGCAGTAGTCGCTTTCCAGCAGGTGACACGTCTGCTCATTTGCCCCCTTATCATGAAAAAAAAACTTCTAAACGTATAATACCTATCATCATCAATCAACGGTGTTTAAAAATCCACTGTTGGACATGGACCTCTCCTTAGGTTTTGGCCACGTTGGCTAGACGAGTTGGTATAGGGTTTGTTTCAAGTTTTACTTCTCTTTGCAGTGCTGTTGTCCTGCGTACTTAGCCCCCTTAGTCGGCTCTTACGACACCCACGGGATTATTAGGGGTGGTGACACTGTATTGTTAATCCGTCACCACACGGACGAATAATACCTATAGATTAGACTATTATTGCTCCCATACCCCAATTATTATTTTTACCATGAGCATTAGCTCTGTTAAAATAAAAGAAGATAACCCATGTGTTTATAACACCACAGTTGTAGCGACTGCTTTGAAACTCATGCATACTAGCAGATAGATCATAAATAGAAATGTAAAGGCACAATTAACGTGACCAATTTATGTTTCTGTCCTAACGGCTTGTCCAATCGCAGGACTAGACCGTGAAAAGAAACCTAAAGCCATAATTATAAAACCAATTAACATGGCCAATTTGTGATTCTGTCCTAACGGGTTATCCAATCACAGGACTGAACTGGACTTATTTGTACGCGACCCTGCGGCTTCAAGCTGCAGTTTTAGTTCTGGTTCCGTTTTCTTTACATTCCTTCTTCTCGTCTTAGAACTTTTACATTCTCGTCGACAGCTCTGACTCTAAGACAGACGGACGGACAACATAAAATGCGACGACTCAAATCACACGGTGTGCAAAAATGCGCTTAAAATACAAGGGCCCCGCCTTCGCACAGGTGCAATGTAGATGCTACTAATGTAGTGTAAGTGAGGAGTAATTAATTATACTATTATTATGATAGGAGATCAGACACAGAGAACATCTTTATATTATGCAATATTTATCCGATCCTGCCTGCAGCTGCCACTCGCGGCGACAGCCGCTTTGCCCCCGAATTTTAAACCTCTAATATTTTCTAAAATATTCATTTTAATGATATGGTGTACAGAGCAATTTTGATCTACGTTAAATGCACAATGCATCTAACGTATGTATTTAATATGATAATGAATAATAATGTATTGTTTAAAATAACCCATACTTTTTTTGTACCATTTAAAAGATAAAAATGGTAATTGTGAGTTATCCTTACGAGATAGATATATACCATCATGGACTTTTTTGTAAATCTTTTAAGATATACATTTTCATATTATTATTATATTACACTAGCTGACCCGCGCAACTTCGTCTGCGTCTCTCAATAGTAATAAATTTTCTCCGTTTTTGAAACATTCTTCATTGGTGCTCCGCTCCTATTGGTCTTAGCGTGATGATATATAGCCTATAGCCTTCCTCGATAAATGGGCTATCTAACACTGAAAGAATTTTCAAATCGGACCAGTAGTTCCTGAGATTAGCGCGTTCAAACAAACAAACTCTTCAGCTTTATAATATTAGTATAGATTATTTTCTTCTATCTCGTCAGGATTAGCTTAGCGTTTGTTAGCCCTCAAAACATTAATTTTTAAGACAAATCTTTGAAATTTTTGGGTTTTTCTCTATTATAAAATGCATATATCATACATATAAGCCTTACTCTTGAACTCTCTCTATTGGTTAAAACCGCATTGAAATCCGTTCCTGAGTTCAAAAAATCTAAGCTTACAACAAAAAAAGCGACTATTTTATGAAAACTTTGTGAAGATTACACTTTTTTTTAATATTAAGGAATGAATAGAGTATTATATGTAGATCTAAGTCATGTAGTCAAAATGTGTGCTTGTGTGAATGCAACTTTAATAATACATTTTACTGTTTGAAAACAAAAACGTGAGTTAGCCTGGCCTCCATTCGTGTGCTGTGTATATTTATAGAGATAGTCTCACGGTCGAATATAGAATGTTTTGTATGGTAAATCTCTTGATTTATTTCATTTTCAATATAACTTGAACAAAAAGTTTAAATAACTGGACCACTATAGCTTTGTGTAGCCGGCACATATTGTTTAAATGTGTTTGGCTTCGTTCTCCTTCTTCTCCATAAAAACAGTAAATATTGTAAATATGTTGCTTCTGTGCGCCATATTTGGTTAACAAGTTAATTATTCGAAAAAACAGAAACCCGACTGCGTGAAAATCCTACACTTAATTAAATTCACAAATGTTATTTATATTTTGTATAGAATTTCTTGTTCTAAATTCCATTTCAATATAAAATTTGTATACATTCTTGTAAGACACGTATGAAACCCTTTATTATTATACCCCAGTCGATAGATTTTGAAGAAATAAAATTTTGAAAACTTGAAATTTGGCGCCAAAAGTACACCATTTTAATTTTAACCTACATAATATATGACAATTATATAAAACCCTGTGTCACTTTCACAATATAATAAGTACATACATAATTAATACGAATTCTGTTTTAATAAAACACCGAAGTTTTGTTTTGTCAATGCCACGTGTAAATATTTGTGATAAGATTCTTAACTGTATCTAAAAATCGGCCTAAGAGATAAAAACAGGCAATTTTATTATTTATCAAATGATTTTTATTTGTTTTTTTACACCAGAGATAGGTAGTATAACCAAATACTTAGGTAAAATCTACACTAAATGTACAACATTAAAAAGCTTAATGCATGGCCATAGTTTTGAGTACACTCTTAGAACATTTACATATGTATTGTACGAGGGCTGCTATTTATGTATCCGGAACTGGCCAGTTACAGAATAATATTAAAAAGTAATTATAACAATAGAAAATGGAACTCTGGCTCAATTTGTTTCATGTAGCTGTTATTTGTTTATCCTTTGTGGCGACATTTTGAAAATTGCGTGTCTTTATCACTATCGATTTAACTCTTCTCTTTAAGAATTTAGCACCTGTTCAGAATCTTTTTACACAGTGAGCCTTTTAAAAGGCATATACAACCACAAGGATGTCTACAATTCGATCACAAACCTGCATATTAAGACCTTCTCAATTATTATTTTTGCGCGGGGTTTGCGCCACGGGTTATCACATTACCCGAGCCGACGCCGCTACACTGAAGACGTAGTCTGACTCCGAGCCACTAAAATCACACGACGATTCGTCACAAGTAGACACTTATGAGTGTCGTGTGGCTGCCGATGATACCCTCATAAGAAAGTCACCCAAAACACCTATACTCTTGTTGATGTATATTTAACATTGCAGATCAGCAATATATACTATAAATACGAATCAATTTCTTAAATTAGTCAGTTACTATTATCTAGTGCTGATATAATTGTGGTCTCTACCACTCTCCAATCTTGGTTGGTTTTCAGCAAAGAACTCTAGAGCAATAGGATACTCCGGGTCTATTCTGCCCTTCGCTGGGGCCAATTAAACGTGTATAATCCGTGTTAAGTGGTGTGTAAATTTGTGTCTGTGTTAACAAAAGTTGTGTAGTTACCAATAGTCAGTGGTATTTTTTTTATTTTATAAGTGCCAGACTGTCCAATCTAACAAAGCGAACACACTGGAGTACGGGAGGAAGTACCTATGTAATAGAATGTCTTCGATTTTGAATTCTGCAATTGTACAAAACTTGTGAAGAGCTTCTCAATAAATTATTATTATTACCTAAACCCTCTCCAAGTCCTCCTCTTACTAAATTTATATTACTTAGCATTTGCGCAGAGCTTCACTCAGGTATATCAAGGTCAATTTTGTCAATCAACAAATAGTACCCTGTCTTTTTAATTAAGTAGTTACTAAGTTGACTGCACGGATGGCGTATTGCTTTAACCGAGTGTTGTGGGTTCAAACCCCACAAACACGTTGTGTGATCCACAAATTGTTGTTCTGAGTTTGGGTGTTCTTTATGTCCTTTTCATGTATGTTTGTAAAGTCCCCCGCGACACAGGATATATTCCTAATGCGGGACTTGTCTTTTTAAGGAGAAGGAGAAGTTAAGGCGTGAATCGTAACAAACAAACCAACTGACATGCTGATTATAATAAGTATTAGTTACGATTCAAAATTTTAGTACTCATCCGAATTCTTAAATATGCGTTTTTTTTTTCTGATAATAATAAATGTACAATGATAAATTAAACATGGTTCGATTCTTATCTACAATCTTTTAAAAGGTTATCGTGGTGCACATAATGAATGAAATATCAACTTTATGGTGCACTTTATAAAGTATACACTACCGACACATACTAAACTGCGTTGTATATTGTTTGTGCATTCATTCTAAAAAATGTTATCGGACATTATGCTATCTGTTTTCGCACGAGGTCTTTCTTTGGCTACAATCCGCGTGATCGTAAAACCTTAAAATGAAGCCCTATGCCGTACGTATTAAAGGTATTTTTAGTTTGTGTCGTATGATAAATGCCGATAGCAACATGTATTAGCAGTGCTATTGTAAAAGTATTTAATATGGCTTTATTATAAGTCCTATTTAGATAGCTAATCGTACAGATTTTATGCATTTCTAATACAAGTAAGACCATGGAAAATAAATAAAAATAATACCTAATCTCACAAACGACCGTCTGATCCCAAACTAGGCAGAGCCCGTACAGTGGTAACCAGCCTACTACATACAGATGATATATAGATCACACTCAGACAGCATGAATGATCGTGCTCATCACACAATTATTTGTCCTGGTCGGAAATAGAACCCACGACCTCTGGCTTAGCAGTCAGGATGGCTAACCACTAGACCTACAGGTCCGTCGAATAAATATCACTTTCTATTATTTCCCGAAGTTTCACACGTATTTACAAGTTACTGCTTTGCTCCTAAGCATTGTGTCATGATTTTATATAATTTCCATATGCCTCAAGAATTGAGTTCCAAAGATTAGGGCAAACCAAAAGTGATCAACTAAAATATACAAGCTCTATAGCATATTCAATTAATACATATTATTATTATTCATTATTTGACTGGCCTGTTGGTCTAGTGGTCAGTGACCCTGACTGCTACGCCAGAGGTCGTGGGTTCGATTCCCACCCAGAACAAATAATTGTGTGATGAGCAACGGTCATTTGTTCTGTGTCTGGGTGTACTTTATCTATAATATGTATGTATTTAGAAATATATAAGTATGTTTATCAGCAGTCTGGTTACCATAGTACAGGCTCTGCCTAGTTTGGGATCAGACCGTCGTGTGTGAGATGTGTGTGAAATATTAAAAATATTAAATATACATAAATAAGCATTCAAGCAAAGAGTATCTCACTGACTTGTATTAGAACTTTTCCATGTGCAGTTAAAATTCTTCATCTAAAACCTAAAGAATATCAACTGCACAGAAAAATAAATCAGGCTTAAAACTTAAAATATATCTACCATATCGTATTCTATTCATAATATGACATTGTGGAGGCAGGGGCTTGAACAAAATCAATACTTACACTGCGTAGTTATATAGAACAAATACACCTACCCGTCATAAATATTTACCTGAAATAAACACGTAACAACCGGTTATAAATAGAAATAAAATTATAGTGGACAAACTGTGGGCGTTTAATATGTATTTGTATGTGTAATATGTATAGTGGACAAACTGTGGGCGTTTAATATGTATTTGTCTACCCCTATGGGTATATAGACATGGAAGAGCCATGCTTGAGCACATGATGGGCCGTTTTGACCGAAATGATTCTTAATAATAATAATAATAACAAGAGCCTCGACCAACACCTTAAGAGGCTCACGTTAGACGGCTGGATATAGGCTGCCCGTATATAGTGAGGAGGTTCCTGTCTTTGGTGTCCTAACCACCTTTGTATTGGTTCCTCTACCCGATGTCTGTGGTCTACTATTTTTTATATTTTTAAATGTATTTAAAAATGTAATCAATATGTATAAATTTGATATGTTGGTTGGCCTGGGGTTTCTATGTATAATATGTATTTATTTACAAAAAAAAATATATATGTATTTATATCAGTTGTCTAGCACCCATAGTACAAGCTCAGCTTAGTTTGGGACTAGATGGCGTTGTGTGAATGTGGTATAGAATATATATAATGTAAAAAAGGTTGCCACGGGCCGTCACCCCACCGGGGTTTGCGGTGGGGTAGTGTGTCGGAATCGGATCGACTAACACCACTCTGCGCCTGTAATAGGAGGGATCCGGGAACTGCTATTATAAGTCATCCGGGAACTGCTTTTATTAAGACACCCTGGTATATATGATAAGTACCACGGCCTCACATTATACAGACACAGAAATTCTGTTTTCTGTGTTGAGACCTAACCCACTCAGAAAGCGGCTACGTACTTGTGTCTGTTCTAATCACTTGTCCTGTCCTGTCCGTCTGTTATTTTACCCCATCTTCTATACAAATTAATAAAATTGAAGTGTCGGTTTGTAATGTCAAAATGATAGATTTTTTCATGCTCCAACGGTTATTTACACGATACCTATACCTAAAAACCAGTTTAAATATTTTTTGTCTGCCTCTGTTTGTTCCGGGTAATCTTCAAAACGGCTGGACAGATTTTGATAATATTTTACTACCAGGTAGCTGTCTGTCTAAGAAGTAACTTAGGCTATTTTTTTAAAAAAAAAACCTTATAAAATTATGCCCAGTCCAGGATTCGAATCCACTAAGGCAGAACTTTTCAAACTCCTCGCGAACGAAGTCGCGGGCACCAGCTAGTATACCATATAAAAGATGTATTGTAAGATGTATCTCTTATTAACATAATTTCTTGTTTCAGTTGGTACCAAAATGGGTGGCGCCCAACGTGTTAACTTTTGGCGGGTTCCTACTCATTATACTGAATTTTCTGTTCCTATCGTACTATGACTACGATTACTACGCTGCTAGTACGCCGGTATACAACGGGACCATCGGAGAAGCATCTCTTAATGGCCATGAAGAAGTGATTCCACAGTCGCTTTGGTACGCTATTGGCGTATTTCTTTTCCTTGCATATACTCTCGGTAAGATATCCTAAACAGTTACAAATTTAAATGTTAAATTGTTTGATTATTACGCTTTGTCGCTTATAAAAAGTACTTTCCCATTGGAAAAGGTGTTTTGACAAGATACATAATATCAGGCACGAAGCCCTGAGTTCCAAAGACTGGTATACCCATACATCAATCAGCCACTACTGATTAGATTCCGTCGATTTCAAGGGATGTATAGAAAAGACAGTGTTTCAAAATATTTTTATATCCATAACTAAGTTACCTACTACAAAAATCGTTCGTAAAAGTTCGCCTCAAAATATTTTAAAGGAATTCTAAGTAGAAATATTACTTTAAATTTTCTACTTATAGTTATTTTAATGTCTTAAAAAACAACTGTCTTATAATCCAAGGCCGAATACAATTGTTGATAAGTAGCATTTGATTTTGCCATTAAGTTTTATCTATTTATCGATGTATAATCTATTGACGTCGTTTCAACTTCTGTTTCCGTATTTCTTGTTTTTTTTTGTAAATCAATTGGTTATGTTTTATTTTAAAAGTAGTCTCTTGGTCTAGTTGATGACCCTGACTTCTCAGCCAAAGGTCGTGGGTTGGATGTATAGTTATAAGTATTGGTTGTTAATTACAACTTTATATCCTTTTTTTTTTAACCGACTTCCAAAAAGGTGGAGGTCTCATTTCGTCGGAGTCCTTTTTTTATGTATGTTCACCGATTACTCGAAGACGCCTGAACTGATTTGGAAAATTATATTTTTGTTTTAAAGGGTATACTCCCAAGGTCGTCCTATTACATTTTTATCGAAATCGGTCAAGCGGTTTCTGAAAAATCAACAAAAATAAATAAAAATATACATTGATGTTGTTTCTGTTTACTTACGAAACCTTGCTGTCTCATTGGAGCAGTGCGTTTAGTTGGTATTTGTTAGTATTGTTTGAAGTCGGTTCAACTTTTTTTCAAAAGGATTTTTCTGTGCCGAAATCCCCTCGGATACCGCCGTGGTGGTTATGTCAGACTCGAACTATTCGAACAAACTAAAAACCGTCTCAGGTACCAGTAGCCGGGTACCCTGGCAATCCCTGGTACACAACTTATTAGCTGCACGTAATCTTGAGTAAAAAAAGAAAGCAGGGACAACGAAGGTGAACTGATCCTATACGACTTCAACCCTAACTAGTAGTCTATGTTCAGCAAAACCCCTTAACATATGTTGAAAACCCCATGACGTTTATATTAAAAATGTTATAAATTCCCTTGAAAATGTTGTAGTCAAAGAGAAAACCTAATTCTTGGAGATGCTTCCCCGCTCGGGTCGTTATTTTAATTATACCAAAAATAACATAATTCAATAACGTAACATTTTTGATGAAATTCATAACGAGGCATTCTGTTTAATATTACAGCTGGTATGTAGAAAAATTACTTACTAAATTTTATTGATTAATTAAGGTATTTTGGTTAACTATTTATTTCAATGACGGAGTTGTAATTACTTCCTTTTACTCCGTTTTTTTGAAAGTTACTTAAAAAGTAAGCTTTGATTGATTTCTGAAAGCACAACTTGTCCACGTTATGTAATTGGTAGTCTCGTTTGACACCACGTTGAAGTAGAAAAAAAACAATGTATAAGGTTTATTTCTAAGTTATACTCTTCAGTTTTAGGATATTTAACAGTGGAAATTTCAAGTCTGTAATTTAATTTATTTTTATGATTTAGGAGTCGGTAAGTTAAAAAAGACAGTTTAAGGTCGGAGCCGTCAAAGTTATAACATTCCTCTTTGTCATTATTAATAATTAACATGCTTTTATTAGTTTGATCTGTAACAAACTATGCCAAGGATTTTCGGAACTAAATTTTAACCTACTTCTAATTGTGTCGTACCAAATTGAAAGTTTGGATGACAATACTGGTGTGCTAATTCTGTTGTTCGAAAACTCTCTAAACTTAACTAAAAATCACTAAAAATTTATTTAGTTCTGTCAAACAACGTTTCCTATTCTGAAAACGTAATATTTGACAGGACAACAATTTTTTTAGTGATTTTTAGTTTAGTTTAGAGAGTTTTTGCACAACCGATTTAGCACCATTGTAATTAGATATCTTGTAGCTGATCGAATGATGAAACCAGGAGATAGAACATTTTAATTCGGTCCGCCATTATAGAATGTTCATTTTTAGTTTAACTGAATTTTTATAAAAAAAAAAACATTTACTTTTTTTGTAGATGGTATCGACGGTAAACAAGCTAGACGGACACAAACGTCAGGGCCACTGGGCGAATTGTTTGACCACGGCCTGGATTCATACACGGTATTCTTTATACCAGCCTGTCTCTACTCCATATTTGGACGAGCTGACTACTCTATACCTCCTATCAGGTAAATTGATACATTAACTTGCTGCACTGCCTTTAGTTACTAGGCTAGTTGGTGTCCCTATCCAGTGATTAGAAGGACGTACTTGCATGCGAGCCAGAGGTCTTCGGGTTCATCATCAACAGCCTCTAATAGTCCACTGCTGGGCATAGCTCTCTCCTTGGAAAGGAGGTTTTTGCCTACTATACCACGCTGGCCAGTCGGGTAGGTACAGGGTTTGTTTCAAGTTTTCCTTTGCAGGATAACAGTATCCTGCGTAGTTTGCTCTCTTGGTCGGCTCTTACTACACCCGCGGGATGAATAGGGATGGTAACACTCCGTATTCTTAATTCAACACCGGGACTAATCCCTCCCACACGCCCACGCCACACCAATATACGGACACGGTCTTCGGGTTACTGCAGTTTAAGTCCCGTAATCACATGCAAGACGATTGTGATTCGCTCACCCTCTCCGTTGTCCCATCTGAAAAAATTTACATTCCCAAAGATGAATTTCGTTAGTTTCGTGGTCTGTTACGATTGTTAGAAAAGAAACCATTGCTCTGAACCTAAATAAAATTTGCAAGAGGACAGGAAATGATGATGGCAACTAGAACAATGAGTTAAGTCAGTCAATGAACGAAGAGTTAACAAAGGAATAGTCAATAAGAGTTTGTTCTCTTTAGTATATTATATTATGCAAGTGCGCTAATATATATATAAACTCACAATACATTTCTGTGCCATGTTCATTTAGTAAATAAATAATGGTATTGTTTAGCAGCAAAATAATCGTCGATTTATTAGTTGTGAACCTGAAGCTTTACCTACATCTAAACTAATATTATAAATGTGAAGGTTGGGTGTATGTTTGTTACTCAAACACGCCGGAACGGCTGATCAGAATTGGATAAAATTTTGTACAGAATTAGATTATATATAGGTAGTCTGGAATACGAAATAGGCTACGTTTATCCATTAAAAACTCATTGACAAAATCGAAAGACATTAAAGCTGGTAGAATATATTTCCAAAGATTGTCTGGGAAAGATCGCAGCCTGTTATAAGATCCTTATTGTACACAAAAGTTCATACAATAAAACTAGATCTAATTGACTACTTATGGATGAATGAATTGAACTGAACTGAATTGTTCGTCAGTGATAAAATGCATCTATCTAGCTATCTGTTTCTGTATTGCAGGATATATTATGTGATGTGGAATTTACTTCTCAATTTCTACATCAGCCATTGGGAGAAATACAATACAGGTGTTTTGTTCCTACCCTGGGGGTACGATTTCAGTATGTGGGTAAGTCTATCTTTGACTTTTTCTTCATCATCATCATCATCAACAGCCTTTAACAGTCCACTGCTGGACATAGGCCTCTCCTTAGAAAGGAGGTTTTGGCCTACTATACCATGGACTTTTTCTTATGAGGATATTTTTAGGATTTAAAGAGTGAGAACCCGTACTTGCAGGATCATGATTAAATTGAATGCTCACACGTAGGTCCTTCCTAATTTGACTAGGCAAAAGCGTAGGTGAACACCTCGCTTGATCGATTTTATCATTGAATGGACATTTATTGTCCAATTGAGTTAGGGGGGTTATTCCACAGGCGAACTACTTGCACTGAGAACGACTTGTCAGTAAATTCTATGGTGGAAAAATTTTCAACCACAGATTTTCTGATGATCTCAAGGACCTGCAATGTGAGTTGTGTAAAAATTCAAAATATTCTTTTGGATAGGATGGAGTATGTGGGAAGATCAGAGTACTGTATAAAATAGCAAAGATATAAATATGATTCTTGGCAATTTCAGAACATGTCTAATTAGTATTTCGTTGTTTTTAAAATAAAATAAAGTTTATATATAAAACCATGATCATCGGTGTAAGGGTTTCCCTTTTTATGGTGTAAAATACAAACAAACGGATTTGTCACCTGACGCTAACTGCCGCTTGTGGATACCTGCGACTCAAAAGACATAGGTGCGTTGAAACTGAGTGCCCCCAAAACAATAAGGATTGATTGATTCTCCGGTAACTTCACTCACTCAGTGAAATATAACTTTTGATTTCAAACCATACAGATATTATAAATAATTATCATCAATCATCATCATCAACAGCCTTTAACAGTCCTCTGTTGGACATAGGCCTCTCCTGAGAAAGGAGGTTTTGGCCTACTATACCACGCTGGCAACGCGGGTTGGCATAGGATTTATGTCAAGTTTTCCTTCTCTTTGCAGTGCTGTTGTCCTACGTAGTTTGCTCCCTTAGTCGGCTCTTACGATACCCACTAGATAAATAGGGGTTGTGAAACTCCGTATTCTTAATCCGTCACCACACGGAAAGTCTCTCTTACTTTATTAATATCCACACACATCCATACCTTATAAATGTTAACTCGTTTAATGTTGATACCTCGTTCATTTTCCTTCCGGGTCATTGTTGTCAACACAAAACTACTCTGAAGTTTAATTAATATTTAACAATGAAATTTAGATATGAATTTACCTTGTCATTGTGTCCCGTGCTTGATAATGTATTTTGAAACAATTACCTACAAAGAATAAGTTTTTCTGTGGGAGATCAAGAACGCAAATAAAATAAGAATTCAAAGAACAAATATGCAGCCTTCAGTCCCGATTTAGACATCTAATATTTAAATACACTCTCCTTGACTCGCCAGGGTCACTCTCCGACATAAATACCCCACCGTTTGAAACAAAAACGGCTAATTAGGATTTTTCGAGGAGTCACTGTGGCTCGAAAAGTTTTAATTCTCACCGAAGCAAAATACGCTCTGTTGTTATTTAGAGAAAAAGTAGGGCCTTGCTTCATCTACATTGGTATATCCGGACGTATGAGCAACATCGCATCGTGCAGAATTATAAGCATGCACAAGACTTCGATATTATGTATAAAAATTTTTTTAGGAAACCCTGAAAAATTGTACCAACTTGGCTTAATTACTTAGCCAAACCCCCAGCTAAACTATAACTAAATTGAAGTACACTGCGCTGTCTGGTTTTTAGGGTAGGCGAAAAATATTAAAACTATGCTAAGATATGAAAATTTGTTCTATGTTAAATATAGTATTTTTTTAACATTCTAATATTTTAAAGTAAAATAAGAATGGTAATATAACATACAAATTTGCAAAGTTAGAAAAAAAAACAGCCTTTGTTATTTAACTCTTAAGAGCGTAAATGTGTGTGTCCGGCGAGTTTAATACACTGTGTTGTGGTAGGGAATAAATTACACACTTAATACATTGAAGTTTATGTATTGAACTATTACAACGTATGTTATAAGTAACATTCATTGTATGGTATGGTTAATTATTACGATAGCATATGAAATGCATGCATGTAAAGTATGTAGAACTATCGAGTGTTAAAAAAAAAGGGTAAAAAATTCAATTCCCGAGAGGCAGTACAAAATGCCTTTGAAGAGTTTGTTGCCTCCCGTCCAGCTGATTTTTACAAGAAGGGCATCAATAAACTGCCAATGCGTTCGTTGGCAAAGATGCGTCGATTGCATGGATAATTACTTCGAATAACAGAAATAAAAAAGTTTGAAAAAATAAGTACTTTTACTTATTGCATACAAAACGGCAATTTCATAGGTAAAGACCTATTATCTATACTTAATATTATAAAGCTGAAGAGTTTGTTTGTTTGTTTGAACGCGCTAATCTCAGGAACTACTGGTCCGATTTGAAAAATTCTTTCAGTGTTAGATAGCCCATTTATCGAGGAAGGCTATAGGCTATATATCATCACGCTAAGACCAATAGGAGCGGAGCACCAATGAAGAATTTTTCAAAAACGGAGAAAATTTATTACTATTGAGAGACGCAGACGAAGTTGCGCGGGTCAGCTAGTTATAAATAAACACACAGTGTACATGACTGTGAGTTTATTTATAACACTAACCTTTTCTTTAACACAATATATTAAGTTTATAATCACGGCATTCTGTTGACAGGCTTCCACGGCATTCTTCCTATGGACGGGTGTGAAAGGGACCAGCTTTTATAAGAAGTATTTATTCTCTGGGTATACTGTAGCCAATGTTTTCGAAGTGCTCATCTACGCGACTGGGGTGTGTACCAATTTGCCCGTCGCCTTGTATAATATTTATCAGTGAGTACAGTTTTGTTTTTCATTTATTTAGGTAAATAAACATGACATAATACAAACTTCTAGATAACGTTACTTATACATAATATGTATATGTATGTAACTGTGTCACCAGCGACATTTAACACAGAGTAGTAAAATAATATTTATTACAGGGTTTTTTTATATTATTATGTGTTTGATAGTAACATTTTGGATATTAATAGCAGCTCAATATTTAATATTTAATTAAAAGCAAGAATTGTTTAAATGAACTAGGACGCGTTGCAATGAGATCAATAGTACAAAAATGTTTAGTATAACTATCAACTAACCTGTTCATCGGTGATCTTTTGCGTTCATTAGTTCGACATCGATTTTGTTTATTACACAGGACGTTTAAGTTTACGATATTATTTTTAATTTTGTACTTCTATATAGATAGTTCAACTCAGTTGTGGCGCGCGGCCCTATGTGTGCCGACTGCCGACGACTGCCACACGAATGAAAGTTGTATATTTACAAGCCCACGCACACATAGGGCCGCGCGCAGAACTGAGTTGAACTATCTATACATATATGTATTTGCTAATGGAATCATACATCCTAAACATTTGGAATGATGTTATTTTTAATTATTGTAGGTTTTTTTTTATTATTTTTATAAAATACTAGTTGGGTAATACATGCTGGGTGCACATTGCAATGTCATGTAAAGTATAAGGAAATAACGAAGAAGAAAAAAAATCATTTATATATTGATTGTTACTATTGTGTGTGTTGTTCTATAACTTTAAAGTCTACATGATAGACGATTTCAAACACTTTTAAGAGATTTTGACTTACTTACATACAGACATCGATTTCATTTCATATCGATCAAATCACGTAACAATGTGTATAGTAAATACCTTCAAAAATCTCATGTGCTAATAATCTTTGCCCAGACACGATAACATGACAAACATTTGTTTGTATGTTTGTTTATATATTCATTAATAAACACGTTTCCTAAAAACATAATTTAGTGTCGTCCTCGACATACATTGATAAAATAAAATATTTAACAATTAAATACGGCATTAATAACCCGCGCTGACCCAGCTCAGGTCTTCTCGTTTATCGTTATAATTATACTGATAATTTATTATTTTACTTTTATTTGAGTAACTAGCAGTTCCCCGCGGTTTCACCTGCGTTTTTAGCCATAGCCTCCCGCCTCGTCCATGTTTTGTTTCACACACAATTTATGAAAAAATGTATTTTCTGTATATATTTTTTTGTAAACTTTAAAAATATTTTGAAATTTATTCTGCTATTCGGGGCGGACTTTTTCGAAATAACCATTTTTCGCGTCTAAACTAAATAAAAAAAAATTAAGGTCGAAAATAGACAGTTGCACATTATTAAAAGAAGAACCTTATAGGTATCATATAAAAAAAGCTTCACTCGAAAATTTAACACCATGAAGGTTTATGTCAATTCAAAGTATCTATTACTATACAACGGCAATTTCATACTTTAACCCCTATTATAATAAGTTTTGTGCTTTTGTTTACTTCAGAATAGATTCGCTTTAAGACAGATTCGCTTTTCGGCAGTAATTGTACAGTCGTGTTGAAATGGTCTCCACGTAGTTTTCCTTAATATGTCAACACGTTACGTTATTTTTGTATAACAGAAAACAGTTGCAAGCAATTATCGCCCTTAAATACAAAGAAATGTTAAATCAAATAAATAAATAAGATATTAAAGCATTCGATTTTTGACCCCCTCCTTATTCTTCAATCTGTCAGAACTGTCAAACGGTACCTCTTAGATTAGATGGACTATAAAAAGTTAACTAATAGATAATATTACGCAAGATTTCACACAAAAATTATTCATTTTAATGTGTTACAAGTAAGAAATGTTTTTGTTTCTCACATATGCATTAATATTGTGCAATTCAAAACAAAAACTTATATTTAACCCTGGGAATGATAAAATCGTACGATTTTAATCTTAATGTTACTAACATACATAATATATGACAGTGATATGTAATGTGTTGTTTCATGATAATTTCTTAATTTAGAAAACATTATTTAAACTTATATGAATTATTAACAAAAAACTTAACGGTGCACAATTGTCCCACAATATGTAATCGCAAGATCGGACCTATTTGGCATATTTGACGCTCATTTTGATATATTTGACAAGTAGAGTAAATCCTGAGTACATACACGTTTTGCAAATATTTGTGTTTCTGTGTATAATAAGTATGTATTTACAAAAAAAAAGTATATATGTATTTATATCAGTTGTCTAGTAGCCATAGGACAAGCTTTGCTTAGTTTGGGACCAGATGGCGATGTGTGAATGTGGTGGAATATTATTATAACTCTCAATACTCATTATTTCGACGTGTCGTAGATATAGTGGTTAGTGATCTTGACTACTAAGCCAGAGGTCATGGGTTCGATTCCCGCCCATGTCAAATAATTGTGCCATGAACACGATCATTTCTTCTGTGTCTGGGTGTATTTTATCTATAACGTATTTTATACGTAGGCTGGCAACGCGCTTGTGACTCCTGAGCAGGCGTTCATGGGCGGAGGTAGTCGCTTTCCATGAGGTGACCTGTCTCTTCGTCTGCCCCCCTCTAACATAAAAAAACTTTATTATTCAAAACAATCTAGAAACGCCCGTCAAATGTATTACTTTCTTTTTACAGATCATACAAACTTCGCACCGGCAAGATGCGAACAGCGACCGAAGCACTGAGACCTTTGTGGTCCTTTTTGACAGTATTCGTAGTGTGTTCGATATGGGTACACAAGTCCAGTCACCTACCTGACTATGACCTTAGGGCACTGTTCTTACTCTACGGAACATTATTTAGCAACGTTGCTGTAAGTACCTTTTTTTTTATTTCTGGTATCAAATCAAACAAAACCTTCTTGATTTATTTAACCAGCGCACCGGATGGCTGTTGCCATTTAATCATAAACGAATAGAAGAAATAATGAATAATATGTCTATGGTCTGTCATTAAACCTTATTTTATTCTGTTATTATTGTTCAAAGGTTTAATTAATAATAATAATAATAAATATAACATATTCTACCACATACACACAACAAAATTAAATGAGTAGCTAATAGTGGCAGACAAGACAGTTTTTTTTTAATTTCACCTATTTGGAAACGGGCGGTTATTGACTGACACAAGCAGAAATAATATTATCTGTATTCCTTTTTTTTATAATCTAATATTGTCAAAGTAACCTGTGGTTGCGGAGAGGTTGAGTGTGTGATAATTTTACAGAAAAATTATACAGAAAGAGCCTGGACGATTACAAATTTTATGAAATATAGATATTTAATTTAAATATAATTTAATTCAAATATTTGAATTGTAATGCAAACTTCTTTTATTTGTTTATTCAAGTGTCGTCTAATTGTGAGTCAAATGAGCAACCAGCGGTGTGACGCCGTGAACTGGCTGCTGTGGCCGCTGACGCTGAGCGCCACGGTGTCGCTGCTGCTGCCGCACTACGAAGTAGCTGCCTTCTATGGGATGACACTCCTCACTATAGCGGCTCACATCCACTACGGGACCTGCGTGGTAAGTAGTACTAATATTATCATTTTTTTTCAATAGCAGTCATACATTCAATTGCTAGAGTAATAATAAACAATTAACTCTAAAAAAAAGTGTCAACTGACTTTAATAACTAAACTGAAATGACGTGAGTGAATGAGTTCTGCGGTAACAACCGGTAACCACTCGATCGTAAGTCGAACGCCCCAGCGATTACTATCACGTAAAAGATCTATAGTTCATTCGCTTTAAGAAATAACATCGATCGTGGCCACACAAGGGGCAAGTGTCATTTCTAATACAAAATCGCTCCTAGAAGATGTGAACGCCCCAGAAGGCGCTTCTGGAAGGAGCTTGGTTTGCTCACCTAGCCAACCTGTCCTCGACGCATAAAGGACAATTCTAAATGCGGAAACCGGAGCCCACAACCAATACCAATATCTACGCATAATACTTAATACATACATATAATACATAATACTTACATAATACTTCATACCCCAAACCCCGCTCCCTGAATGATCCCAAGTAATTATCGTTTCGTACGAAAGCTTGATTGGTGCGTCACTATTTTCTTAACGCGAATGAACTTGAAGTTTTGTTGTTTTCATTAATTTTTTTCTCGTCAGGTACGACAGATGTGCGCCCACTTCAGAATAAGCTGTTTCTACATAAAGCAAAGATCAGATTGACTCTTAGATGACAATGCGTGCTAAATAACATAACTAAAAATAACAGACAACATTATGTACGCTCTCCTACATATCCATCTAGTGGGATGAGATAGTTTAAAACATTTTGTGGTACGCGGTGTTTGTTTATAGTGGTTTTAGGATTATAATCAAACGGTACCAAGGCTTGCCTTTCTAAGGTACACCTGGTTACCCCGCTATTGGTACCCTAGACGGCGTGCGGTTTTTAGTCTAATCCGACATAACCACCCCACCATTGGTGGTACCCCATGTGATTTCCGTATAGAAAAAAAGGCCTTTTAAAAAAGGATTATAATCCAAGCCACCACAGTTCACAAGACACTGCACAGAGCGTTAAGTAATCATATTTTACAAATTGACACTTCACCACTGTGCAAAGTTTAAGTTTTTTTTTATCTTAACGCAACCAATCTGTGAAACAAGCAGACGCCTGCGGTATACCTGGATTGATACGACCTCCAAACCTTCAAGACAAAAGCGTACCTCAAAAACACCTGGGCCTACTGAGTTGCAGATCTCAATGGTCAGCGGTAGTCTCTCTCCATCAGGTGACACAGTTGATTACTTAAGAACTACTTAAAAAAAAAATTAACTATATATTAATAGGTACCAAGCAACAGCTACCAGTTTATTAGCAATGCCGACTTCCATAGTTTTAAACCCATCTCGTCTCACATTATCACTCTAACGCAAGTTGTTCATTTTATAGTAAACTGAAAGAAAAATGTTCGCCTTATACGTTTGCGTAATTATTTCAAAGTTATCTCTTTACATAAAAGGAAACCATTACTGACTATGAACCCAAAGCATAGCGTAAACTATTGTACGGATTGTTTGAAAATATCATAGAATCGTCCTAAAGTCGACTGGTAGATAATGCCATGCATGTGGCAAACGTTGATTATACTTAATAAATATTATAAAATCAGCCAATTCGGTCTTAAGCAAAAGTACAAATAAAATAATTATGATTATACAACATAATATAAAAAACCCCTAGTTTTTGTCAGGCGGTCAGATTTTTTATTTTACTATAAAAGTGCTTTATAGAGTTAGCTCTTTAGTTCAGTGAAAGTTAAACGAAACAATATAAACGAGTACAGAATAACGACTTATTTATTAGTGCATTCTGTTGTTTAATTTTTAAGTAGTTATGTTTGTTAAAGATTGTACACATTGCATATTAATACTCTTAAATATTAATATGTTTCTTCTTCAGTTAATATTAATTTCAAAACCCTTTTTTTACAAATTGTGTACGTCTTTATTTATGGGTTTATGGCACGTATTGTCTACTTTTTCATCTTAAATTATTTACCTATGAATTGATGTATTAGTTTATTAAGGTTTTTAACCAAAGGGTGGTGTGTAACGTTGGAAGTGAAGACATTGGAAGATACTCTATTAACATTCCCTATTCTGCGAAGTTGAGGTCAATCAAGATTGCCAGGGCCTACATTGAAGCGGCCCTAGCCAAGCGCTAAGCTATTAAACATCCCCTAAATACTATGCATATGTACAATATATGTATACCATAATATATATTTCATTCCATTTACATCAACTTTGTAATAGTAATCACATTTTATTACTTTTAGTGTCTAAATTTTGAACATTATGCACCAACCTTGACAGTATTTTAAGTATCGCAAATTGAGGAATGCGGCAAATTTAGACTGATTTTATTCACAGTACTGGCACTGAGATTATATATTTAAAACTAGCTGACCCGGCAAACGTTGTTTTGCCATATACATTATTTCTAGGAAATATTGAAAAAGAATCAGGGGTGGGTCACCCTTGTCATTAAGGGGTATGAAAAATAGATGTTGGCCGATTCTCAGACCTACCCGATGTGCACACAAAATTTCATAAAAATCGGTCCAGCCGTTTCGGAGGAGTATGGTAACTAACATTATGACACGAGAATTTTATATGTAAGCTTATAATGATTAGCTTGATTAAAAAATCTATTTAAAATAAAAAGTTATATAGTTTAAAAATTAATTTGTTATACATAATAGTGTTGGAACCTAACCTTGCCGTTGGGATTCACTATAAATGACGGTAGTCGTAAATTAAAAAATAAGTGAGTTGTCACCGTCCGCGGTAAGCAGAGACGGAGTAACGCCATAACACCTCAATTGAAGAGCAATTATACTTCTGTATTCTTTGGAGAATTCTCGCAAGCTGAATAATAGCTAAGTTCATTGACCGATTAATTTTGCTGCATATCGTAGGGGAATTCCCTGCAAGCCAAGTGCGCGGGAGCGCGGGAATTTCCCGTCCCTTTCATTAATGTGACAGTTCTTTGCTCTTAAAATATATTTATCTATGCAATGTTGGCATGTGTCTGTTGAACAATTTAGTGTGGTGTTTTATTGAGGTGTAACATCCTTCCTTGCTTACCTGGATTTTGTGAGAGGAAACTTTTATAACTATATACTACTAGGTATTCGATTAAACCAGTGAGCAGGCGCGTGATGAAAGGTAGCTTTTTTTTTTTTACGGGACTAATCCCACCCACACGCCCACCGCTGTAACTCCTGTACACCAGGATCCACAGCAGTGACCCACGAACACACCGAGTTATGACACTCGGGAAGTCCCAGGAAGAAATTAAACTGTCTTGGAACCCGCAACGAAATTAATCAGAAGAAAATTGGAGGAGTTGGAAATACAGTAAGTCCACTTCCCTCCTTAGCAAAGCGGGAGACAAAATGAAGTAAAAAGGGCATACACCCTTTTAAACAGGGAAGCACCACGGCCACAAATATTACGGGTCCTACGTGAGCTATGTTTGATTTCTATAATATGTATGGCAGAATCGCCTAAACGCACGGAAATTCACCCTAGTTGACACAAGATCCCCATAGTATAAACGTATGAAAGGTAGCTGTCAGATGTTTACACACTAACATCAACTAACAACACTTACAGACTAACATGTAAGTTATCGGCTTTTTGTATAGATTAACCAAAGCCCATTCCTCAATTCCAATGAATTTTATTTATATAGATTGACCAAATAAATTGGTATTATGCCAACGTGTAATATATTTAACATTTATTTATGAAACAGTCTCGTTGTCGTAAACTTAATTTCAAGCAATCGATCTTTTTGAAAGTGTATGATTGTTTGATTAAATTTGAATTTCTTTAGTATTAAGTATAAATAATGAGATTCTAGCAGATATTGTTGTTATTTTTAACTCAATTCATATTATTTTAGGTGTTGTGTTAATGTATATATATTTTGCCCCCAGATTTTCGATGTATAAAAAAAACATTAACGAACAATTTGTTACGTCAAATCTGTATCTCATTATTAAACGTCAAAGCGATAAGTACGTTCCGTTGAAACTTTATTAAATACTAAGTTGTGACGTCATAGTTGGCTAACGTCAAATTGAAAAATTGTTCTATTCAACACTACAAACAATGGGACAGTTTAGTAATGGGTATGTCGATTGATTTATTTACCTATAAAATATATATATTTTTAAAATTATTTCCCCATTTTTGCTTTTTTCTTTCACTGCCACAAAGGATACTTAAAGTATTATAATCTTTAAACCCACCCCAGAAGATTTTAATATATTTTTTTAAATAAGAATTACATTTATTTACCCTATATGTATTAAAATATTTATTACTAATAAGAAATATGTTTTTAAGGTTTTTTTTTTAAATATAATGCCATTTAACGACCAGTGCAGTGAAATTAATCAATTTCAATTTAGCTATTGTATTGTTTTTGATTGTCCAAACTGACTTATTGACTGTAACATAGATGTAAGCTTATTCACATTAAATAAACCAATTTTATAATTCAGGTATCGTTTTGTAAAATTTAAATATAGAACTAAATTGAGCTATATCGATTTCTAATATCTTATGTGCAAGATGAGTTAGTGAGATTTTTGTTCAGTTTTATTCAAAAATTAAAACATTTGTGAATTTTAAAATGTAGTGTATTCATTAGAAAATAAAAGTGCCTCTTAGAAAAGAATAATTGGTCATAATATTGGATCAATCTTGAATATATCTGTCTCGCATGATTTTTTTTTCGTATGTACATTTTTAACCATTTTTTACCTTGTTTCTACTCCACATCTCCTTAACTGATAGTGTGAGTAGGTCAGTACAGTAGTAGTTATGTACTATAACTCTATCCAATAAATTATTCATATTTTGACAGTTCAAAAGTACCTATCTAGTCAATGAGCAGTTCTTTTTTGATTCGATTAAAAATTACATTCGATTTTATTTAAAATGAAGGTTCAATCGATTTGAAAAAGCAAAAAGGTGATTTGTTGAAAATAAATTTTTTATCACATTACTTTTTAAAATAGAACTTTCTTGTAATTGGAATAATGGTCATCAATAGTATAGGTAATTAAGTTAAATTAAATAATCGATTTATTTTTTAACATCCCACTTAAAAGCGCGTTGATACACTCAAATAGGTACGTTCTTAAACCAACTGTCAAATAAAATAAACAAATGGACAGAGTATAATTAACACTAATTATTGTACTGTTGCACACATTACTCGTCTTGTTTCTGAGATGTAAATAATTCATAGCTTTTAAAATAGTTTTATTTAGTTATTGTGTGTCCATATAAATGAAGTGGATACCGAGACCAGACTTAGCCACGTAAAACTTTATAATAAAATTTTTAGTCTTATTAAATCCACATTTTTGGGTCAGTGAACCCTGTTAATTCATAAAACCATGAGATATAGTCGAATAGAAACATAACCAAATTATAATATTGCTTATATTTCACAGAAAAAAAAGTTCAATAAATATCGACTCTCACTGGTACGTAATAAAGGTTAATCTAATCCGCACGACAAACGTAACGTAAGTATTCGTTCCGTTTTTTTGAACGGTCGAGTACTGCCTAGGTTGATTTTTGTTTGTGATTGTGAACTAAAAAAGTTACGAAAATATGCATTTATGTTGCCCTTT